TTATAAGAGTAGATGAAGTACAATCAAACAAGGAATAAAGAAAAAAGAAAGCACGCTCCTCTCTTTTTTTGATAAGCTCTCTCTCTTTTTTTTCCCCTTTAGCAGTCACTATACCAGTAGTGAAAATGTGCCCTAGCTAAAATAAGCGCACTGGTAACACTTGATTTAATACAGGAACAGGCAATTGGAATTCTGTGTTTCAGCCTTAACTATTTTCTAGTGTTTCTCTCTCGTTCCATTCATTCATTCAGCCACTAGTTATTGGAGTCTGCTATGTGGCAACTACTCTTCTACCATCCCGATTTCTACAATCCCCATTCTGTTAGCTTGTTTCTTTTTCCCATGGTCTCTTCCTTATCTATGCAGACCAAGGGTGTAAAGTAATGACAAGTTTTGTTTGCCATATTTTGGGCCTTCCTGGGGTTTTTTGAAAGGTGATATAACTGTGCCAGTGTTAAGCTTGGTTTTAATACAACATTTTAGCCCCGGGGTTTCAAGTAGTGATGTTAGCTGTAGGACCCCTTTAGGCTTCTGAGGTTGTCATCTTATATTTAGTATCACATCAGTAGATAACTTCAGTATTCCAAGGTTATAAAATAGTGCCTGGTACAATTTTTGCCTTCTTGTTCTAGATATTTTTTCCATATGTCTCTTCTCTTCAACATCATGATAGGGACTATATAGCATGGTATTATTTTTACCAAATGCCAGAATGCAGCTGGGCACATACAGACTCTTTCAAAGCCAGAGAGACAAAATCAGAGACATCACATTTTCCTTTTCTTTACATTAAAACAATTTAATAAGAATACAAACTATGCCAGTGAATACAAGTCAAAACTAGTGTTAAACAAGAAAAGGGACTCATCAGATATTGAAAATACAATTCTAATTTGGAAGCAGGTAACTAGAGACACAGTTGTTTCCTATCCATAAAATGATGCTTGCATTGGATTAAAAAATATTTACTGTGAGGTTACGATTATTCATACTATCTTTATTACATAGAGTTGAGCAGAACACCAATAGACGTCAGCCTAAAGTAAGTGCAAGGAGCAGAAAACACTGGCAAATGAAGAAAACATTAATATTTCTGTTCCCACCTCAGAGCTCTATGTTGAAGGGTTACAAATCTATCATCAATAATCTCAATGCTCCACCCCAGATCTTGGACAACTTGTACACTGTTCATCTTGTACACAACACATCTAAAATAATTCATAATCTTTTCTATTTTAAGCCAGTTTTCCATTTGCTATAGACTGAATCGTGTCTCCTCACCCACTCCCCACACACCAAATTTATATGTTGACGCCTTAATCCCTAATGTGGCCTTATCAGGAGATAGGGACTTTATGGAAATAATCAATGTTAAACGAAGCCCTGACATGATAGGATTAGTGTCCTTATAGGAAGAGACCTCAGAGAGCTCACGCTCTTTCTCTGCCATGTGAAGTCTCAGCACAAGGTGACCATCTGCAAGCCAGGAGGAAAGCTCTCACAAGAAACTGGATGAGCTGGTATCAAGATACCAGCTGGTATCTTGAACTTTCCAGTTTCCAGAACTGTGAGAAATAAATTTCTGTTGTTTAAGCCACTCAGTCTGTGGTACTTCGTTATGGCAGCCCAAACTGGCTAAGACACCATACCAATTTCTGTGTTTCTTTTACTGTACCTCTTTTCTTAGCAACTCAAGCTTAATACTGTGAAGTCCTTTTTATCTTAATTCCTCACTTCTAGGTATCATGAAATATTCTCTACATCTTATCTTGTGTTTGCCTATTTCTCCCCATGGTTCATGGTAGTACACAAATCCAGGCATTCACCACTCAAATGTAGACTATTTCAGTAATCTACTTGAATGGACTAATTAGCTTATGCTGGACCAACTAACCCATAAATAATAACCATAAGCATTGGACAAAATTTTTTTTTAAAAAACCTGAAAAACACGTAAGAATGGGGGGAAAAAACGGCAGATTCTGAAGAGGAATCTACACTCGGAAGAAAAGGAAGACATGGAGTGGGTTTCTCTTTTTATAACTTTTAGCATGAAGGCAAGCCTCAGTCTGTGTTGCTAAAAACTGTAATAGAAAACCTGCAGGCTTTATGGACTACAGAACTGGGGGTAGTGACTTATCTGGAAAAGGAGTAGAGCATCTCAGAAAGGAGAGAATGAAGGGGAACTACAAACTCTGTGTATGAACTGTCCAAATCTCACCCTGACCCTGTACCACACATGTGCATAACCCTACTAAGGATAAGAAAATGAAACTTAGATTTGAGCTAATATCTAGGAGACAAAGTTTTCAGCTTGAATACAAACAATTTTGTTGCTTGTTAACACAAAATAACAAACAATCAACATTCCTGGGTGAATAGGAAAGAATCAAGAGTTTCCACATTGTAACATTTTGATGTCCAGTATAAATCCAAAATTATGTAACTTATTTTCTAAAAAGGACAGAAAAAGTGTGACCCATTCTCAAAAGTTAAAGCTGTTAACAGAATGTGATGCTAAGATGATCCAGGCTTTGGCGAGGATTTTTTTTTTTGGGGGGGGTTAGAATATGGGGAAGGAAACAGTGTTGGGGAATTAGGGAGGGGGACCAGCCAAGTTGTTTTTCTTCAATCTTAGTTGTGGAGGGCGCCAGTCGCCATCTGGCTGCCCATCTGCAGCTCGTGGCCTCTAGCTCAAGGTGCTGTGTTACAATCTTAGTTGTGGGTGGGCGTAGCCACCATCCCATGCAGGATGAGTGGAACCAGCAGGCTTGTTGTTAAGAGCACACGTTTTATCCACTGAGTCATCCGGGTGACAGCTCAGCTCAAGGTGCTGAGTTCAGTCTTAGTTGAGGGAGGGCGTAGCCCACCATGTAACAGGCAGTCTTGTTGTTAGGAGCACGTGCTCTCACCAGCTGAGCCATCCTGCCACGTGTTGGCAGCTCAGCCACAGCTCAGCTCAGGTGCAGCGTCACTGACCCATGTGGGAATCGAACTGGCAGCCCTGTTGCTCAGAACTCATGCTTTTTAACTCTTAACCAGCTGACCCACCTGGCTGGTCCTTGACAAGGATTTTAAAGTGCTATTGTGACAATGTTCAGTGACATAAAGGAACATATGTTAAACTGATTGAAGTAATAGGAAATTTTAGCAGAGAAATAGAAATTATTAAAAAGAGCCCAACAGAAATTTTAGAAGAGAAAATTACAAAATTAAAAATGTAAAAACTATACTTGATAGGATTAACAGTGGAATAGAGATTAGAAAAGAGTAGTGAAGGCAGAGCAATAAAAATAATACAATCTTAAAAATAAGGAGAAAAAAGATTGGGAAAAAATAGGATAATAGATCATTTTTTAAATTCCAAGTTCTGATACTTTATCCCCTTACATAGCCCTAAAACCTTCTCCTGCTTGACCTTCTGTCCAATTTTACATAAACACTGACTTCACTTAGTGGACGGACCAGGTGGAGGTAGCCAATGGCTTCCCAGGCTACTCCTTGATTCATGACATAGCTCAGGGTCTCAGCACACAAGGCCAGTCTTGCTTGATATAGTAACCATGCACAAGGAGAGGCAACTCAAGTTCTGAGACAACGGCTCCTAGCCTAAGTGAATGACCATAGAAAATTACGCCAACTCAGAGCTGGCTACCTGAGGTCTGGATAGGTTAAGAGAGCTGTCAACAATGTTATTCAAAAGTAAACTTTCTCTGTAGCTTGCCAGTTCCTAGATTCCTATACAGAAGCTCTTATTGGGACTGGGTAACCCTGTGATGATGATAAAACGGGGGAGTATCCATAAGAAAACTGTCTCCAGAGAAGACAGACA